TTTTTTTGAGATGTAATTGATATGTAATACTCTATTAGTTTCAGGCATACAACCTAATGATTTGATGTTCGTACCTATCACAAAATGATCACCACTGGGAAGCTAACTTCCATCAGCTCACATAGTTTAAACATTCTTGTCATATCGTGAGAAATTTTAAGATCTACTTTTTCAGCAGCTTTCAAATCTACAGTATACGATCATTAACTCCAGTCACCATGTTTTACATTACACTCCCAGAACTTAGTTGTTTTATAACTGGAAGTTTGCACTCTCTGACCCCTTTTATCCATCTCACCCACCTCTGAACACCCCAACCTCTGGCAACCACCAATTTATTCTCTGTTGTTTATGAGATCAGGTTTTTTTAGTTTGGTTGGTTGTTTGCTTTTGAGATTCAACATACAAGTGAGATCATATACCATTTTTAAATTTTTTTTAATGTTTATTTTATTCTTTTTGAGAGAGAGAAAGAGAGCGAGCGAGCGGGTGAGGGACAGAGAGCAAGAGGGAGACACAGGATCTGAAACAAGGCTTGAAGCTCTGAGCTGTCAGCACAGAGACCGATGCAGGGCTCGAACTCACAAACCACGAGATCATGACCTGAGTCAAAGCTGGACACCCAAGCGACTGAGCCACCCAGGCACCCCCTGTTCAAATCTTTAATCCATTTTTTTAAATGTTTATTTATTTTTGAGAGAGACAGAGAGCAAGCGCACGCATGCAAGGGAGGGAGGGGCAGAGAGAGAAGGAGACAGAGGATCTGAAGCAGGGCTCGAATTCACATGACCTGAGCTGAAGTCAGACACTTAACCTACTGAGCCACCCAGGCGCCCCTAAATCTTTCATCCATTTTGAGTTAGTTTTTAGGTATTATGCAAGACAGTCGTTCAGTGTCATTATTTTTCACATGGCTGTCCAGTTTTCCTAGCACTGTGTATTGAAATCCTCTGTCCATTGTGTATTCTTGGCTGCTTGTTGTAAATGAATTGGCCATATATGCATGAGTTTATTTCTGGTTTCTCTGTTCTCCTCTATTGATGTATGTGTCTGTTTCATGGCAATACCATAGTGTGTTGATTACCATAGCTTTGTAATATATTTTGAAATCCGAAAGCATGATGCCTCCACCTTCGTTTTTCTTTCTCAAGAGTGATTTGACCTTTCATGGTTCCATAAAAATTGTAAGATTGTTTTATTTCTATAAAAATGCTAACGGGATGTTGATATGGATTACATTGAATTTATAGGTTGCTTTGGGTAGTATGGACATTTTAACGATATTATTCTTCTCATCTGAGCCCAGATTATCTTTCTGTTTATTTTTGTCTTCGCTTTTTTCAACATTGTGCTATAGTTTTCAGTGTATAGGTCTTTTACCCCCTTGGTTAAATTTCTGAGCATTTTATTCTTTTTGATGCAATCGTACATAGGGTTTTCTTAGTTTCTTTTTTTTTTTTTAATTTTTTTTTAAACGTTTATTTATTTTTGAGACAGAGAGAGACAGAGCATGAACAGGGGAGGGTCAGAGAGAGGGAGACACAGAATCTGATACAGGCTCCAGGCTCTGAGCTATCAGCACAGAGCCCGACGCGGGGCTCGAACTCACGGACCGCGAGATCATGACCTGAGCCGAAGTCGGCCGCTTAACCGACTGAGCCACCCAGGCGCCCCAGTTTCTTTTTTTGATAGTTCAATTATTAGTGTATAGACAGGCAAAAGATTTGTGTTTATTGATTTTGAATCCTACAACTTGAGTGAATTTGTTGATTAGTGCTAATAGTTTTTTGGTGGCGCCTCTATGGTTTGTCATATACAGTATCATGTCACGTGCAGTGACATACTTCTTCCTTTCCGATTTCAATTCCCTTTCTTTCTCTTGTCTAATTGTTCTGGCCAGGACTTCCAATACTATGTTGACTAAAAGTGCTAAGTGTCTCACTCCTGTTCTTTATTATGCTTTGTATTTCCCCTACACACACTTTTTTGAGAGTTTTATCATAAATAGATGTCGAATTATGCTAATGCTTTTTCTGTACTTATGGAGATGATTGTATGATTTTTGTCGTTAAATTTGTTAATGCTGTGAATCACACTGATTGGTTTGTGAGTGTTGAAACATTCTTGCATCCCCAGAATAAATTTCACTTGTTCATGCTGTATGACCCTTTGACTGTAATATTGAATTCAGTTTGCTAATATTTTGTTGAGGACTTTTTCATCTGTGTTCATCAGGGATTTACTTGTGGCATCCTTGTTTGGTTTTGGGATCAGGGTAATGCTAGCTTCATGTAATGAGTTTGGAAATGTTCCTTTTCTTTTGGAGTTTAAGAAAGACTCAGATTCTTTAAATATTTGGTAGAATTGACCAGCGAAGATGTAGTTGTGGCCATTTCTTTGCTGGGAGGTTTTTTATTACTGATTCAAGCTCGTTGCTAGTAATTGGTCTGTTTAGATTTTCTATTTCTTCATGATTCACTCTCGATGGGTTGTATACGTCTAGAAATGTATCCATTTCTTCTAGGTTGTTCGCTTTGTTGGTGTGTGATTGTGGATAACAGTCTTTTATGATCCTTCATATTTTTGCAGTTTTTATTTTTCTTTTAGTTATAACCTCTCCTGGTTCATTTCTGCTTTTGATTCTCTTCTTCTTGGCGAGCTTAAGTATAGATCTGTCGATTTTGTTTACAATCTCTGTTACCTGCAAACGGAAGCACTGCTAGCCACCAGTGCCAGCGACCTAGAGGTGTCCCCTGGGAGGCAGCCACAAAAATTTGGGCGCCAGATGAGAGTACAAATTCCTTCTGAGAGACATGAGTGAGTTGGAGCAAGGCTGAGGGACAGATCAAAGATGGCGCCCATCAGCGTCTGTCTTTGGAGAGTATTTCAGTAGGCCCTTGGCTGTATGTTAAATTGGATGTCTGCATCTTGCTTTGACTTTAAGGTAAACGAATAAGCCTCTTTAAGAGGAAGTCAGTGCTTTTCAATTTGCTGCTTCCGCACTGAGACTTGGAGTGGGTGGGTCCACATACGCAAGCTCTTTGTGAGCTAGTCCGTTGACTATCGCCTTGTGGGTCTCAAGCCCTGTATACACTATATGTTTTGGGGGCTCTTCTCTGGTGCAGGTCTTAAAAATTGGGGTACCCGATAGGAGATTCAAACCTTTTGCTTCTTGGGGAGAAACCTGGGGCTTCGAGTCCCGATTGTGGGTCACAGTGCCAGGGGTGGGGCTTATTCCAAGACTGTGTCTCAACCACTCTTACCTGCTTTCACGTGACTGTTTTGTTTGCCTCCCGTGTAGCAGCCACTCAGCTAGTTTTAGTTTTTGTTTTCTTTTTCAGAGGAAATTGTTCCCTATGTAGCTGTAGATTCAGTGAGTCCATAGGAAGAGGTGGGTCCAGGACCTTCCTACATTGTCTTCTTATCTTGGAACGCCCCAGATGGGTTTTAATAGCAGTCCATACGCTTGCTGCCTCTGGGAAAATTATCATTCTCTATGCCTGTTGCCTCATCTATATTTTGGGAATTTAAGTATCTACCTCCCAAATGTTGCAAACCCCGAATGAATTAAAACTTAATAGATGACTGGCAGATCCCTGAAGTTTACCACTGTCAGGGCTGTGGTGGGACCCTTGCGCGAACCATGACCGGATTCTCTGTATTAGGCTAAGTTGGGGAGGGACCTTCAGGAAGGTCCTGCTTCCTACCTGCATACTTGCACGTTTTTTAATTGTTTTGTCTTAATCATTTCTGCTTGTGGTTGATGCTTTTTTTTTTTAGGCGACTCTTAAGCTTAATGACCTGTAAGCAGTTCTTTTTTTCTTTAGCATTATAAAACTTGACGATTTAGTATTTTTTTAGTAAAAAAGTAAGAAATCAACAGTAAGGACTAAACCAAAACAAAATGTTCTTTGAGAGCCTTTGATGCAAAGGAGGTAAAACACTTGCCTTAGGTCTCCAGGCACCCTTGACCGTGAAATGCTTTACTACCCAACTGTCTACTAGAACATTCTGTGGGGGCGGAAGTTCTCTATTTGTGGTCACCGTTGTAGTGACCACTAGCCACATGTGCCTCTTGGGCACTGGAAATGCGGTATGACTGAGGAACTAAACTTTTCAATTTTAGCTAATTTAAATAGCCAATGGGTCTACGGGCTGTCACTGAACAGCTCAGGGTCTCTAGCATAACAGGAATAGTGATGTATTCTTAAGATTAGAGGACTAATTCAGTCAGGTGGAACAAAGCCGTGGTTTTGCCTTCTTATTGATAAACAAGCCAGATAAAACAATTTTAATTTCAAATAAGACATCCATACTTAGAAAAAGGCCGCTCTAAAATGTGTTCATTTCTCAGTCTTCTTATAAATGCTGATTAAATTAAGACGTCTTCCATAGTTGCTGCTCCGTAAAATGTGCTATGTGAATTGGCTAAATCTGCAACTGATGGAAAATGTGTATTTCTAGCTGTACGCTCGATGCGATGTTCATATGAATATGCTTTTCACAGCTCTTCTACTGTTGCTTTCTCTTAGAGGAGAAGGAATGGAATTATAAAGCTAAAGCGTGAATGTGTGATCATGCTCTGGTTTCATTATTGTTTCTCAAGGGAAGTTGAAAGAATGGTCTTTGGTCCTCTATGGCACCTCCGTGCAGCCCTACTCCCCAACGAACGAGTTTCCTAAGGTAGAACGTGTCCGTTATACCCGAGTCGAAGACCCCACCGAGGACTATGGTACGGAGGATTATGCAGGTGAGTTGGCTTCCAACAGAGACATGGGCTAAGGGAAGAAATCTCATGCATCATCCCACCATGCAGAAATAAGCTTCAACCCATATTCTGGTATTTTCTTCCATCTTCTTTTCTATCCCCCAAATATGTGTGTATATTCAGATAGCTGGGGTTTTTTTTTTTTTTTCCTTCAAAGCTAAAAGCACACTGTCTACAGTTTTCATATCTGTTTTCTTCCTCTTGTGGTTATTAAGAGCATATTTCCCTGTTGTCACATATCCTCACAAGAAGTATTTAAAAGACCGCATAATAGCCCAGCCTCTGGTTGCGCTACATTTAATACGTAATCTGGGAGGTGCTGTTTGCTTAGAGTTTTGCACTGTTTGAAATAAGGCTTGGTTTTTATCAGTCTTTGTTTAGAATAGAGTTCCGAGCACTACTGCATCAAAGGGAATAATCAGTTTGAGGACTTGGACACATTTTGTCACGTTCCTTTCCAGACAGGATGTACCAGTCTACGCTGTGACCAGCTGCGTGTTTATTACACTCATTCCTGCCAACAGTGAGCGGAAAGAAAAAAGTAAAGGAGCAGGACATTTTTAAATTTTTATACCTTTGATCGTTAGTAAATCTAAACATTTTTTCCTCTGTAGTTCTAGGAATTCAATACAACTGTGTTTTGCCCATTTTTCTATTCAAAGGGGCAGCAATTTTTTGATCCATTTATGAGAACTCTATGTATGTTATTGTCCCTCACCTAGTCTCATACAGTCGTTACCCCTTATCAGTGGTTTCATCCATGGTCAGGAAGCAGACGATCCCTTCATCTGATCTATCATCGGGGCTATAGGAGCTTAACGCTACATTACCATGCCCACACCACCTCACTTCATCTCATCCTGTAGGTGTTTTATCATCTCCCTTTGTCACAAGAAGGAGGGTAAGTACCACACAAGATATTTTGAGACACTACATTCACATACTTTTATCACAGTATATTGATAGAATTGTTCTGTATTGTTAGTTTCTTACTGTGCCGTATTTATAAATGAAATGTCGTCACAGATAGGTATGTGTAGGAGAAAAACAGTATAGGGAGGGTTTGGTACTCTCCATGGTTTCCGGCATCCACTGGGGTCTTGGAATGGTATTCTCCACAGATAAACTGGGGGAGGAACTACTCTATTTGCTGAAAACATCTTCCCAGTTAGTGCTTGCTTCCAAAATGTTGCTCTTGTGTTGTGTTGTTTCGACAGAAGAAGAAAATTGGAGGGTAGGGTTTATAGCTTCAGACCTCACTTGTGCTTTTTCTAAAAAGAAGCTTTAGTCTTTATTGGAGCGTCTGGGTGGCTCAGTCGGTTGAGCGTCTGACTTCAGCTCAGGTCATGATCGTGCGTTCTGTGAGTTCAACCCTCACGTCGGGCTCTGTGCTGACAGCTCAGAGCCTGGAGCCTGTTTCAGATTCTGTGTCTCCCTCTCTCTCTGCTCCCACCCCTCCACTCTCTGTCTCTCTCTCAAAAATAAACATTTCATTGACATTTTTTCTAATGAAATCCACAAAATATTCACACGCATTTTTTTTCTAATCTCTTATTTTAACACTTGGCCATGCATTCATCTGAAATTCATTCTGGCTTAAGATCTATAGTATGAAATAAAAGTGTCTTTATTTGCCATATAGACAAACATTATTGACTGGGTTATCATCCCTTCTTTTACTCGTTTAGGATCCCTTCCTTCATAACTATAGAAGAAATTCTTACACTGGGGTCTCTTCTGGTGTCCCTTTTTCTGATTTTTCAGTCTGGTAATTCTTAATCCAGTTGTATCCACACTAGGATTTATTATCTGTCGAACATCTCCTTGTTTTCATGGCAATTCTTAAATCCACCTATAAAGATCCCACTGGAATTTAATTTGAATTTATATGCGATCTCATAATTGGTTGCTTTTTTGGGGGGGCTGGGGGAAGGAGAAATGTTTTTACAATATACAGTCTTTCCATCCAAATACACCCCATGTCCCAGTTTACTAAAATATTTAATTTTATGTATTACTATTCTTCTTAGTGTTATCCTATGTATTTTGCGGACTGGTTGCTATTATGATGGAAAAGATGCCTTTTTCCTAACTAGGATATGCTAGCATCTAGGAAACCTAGTGGCTATTGCATAGTTATATCTGAACATTCTGCTCAACTCTCTTATTAATTTACATATTTTAGAGTTCATTTCTCTGGGGTAGTTTAGGTATTGTGGCCATATCTGCAATTTTTTTTCCTCCTTCAAGGTAGATCTCTGATTTCTGTCTTGTTGCATTGACGACCATTTATAGGAGCACTCAGTTCTCCTGGGACCGGCTATGATACTTAATGAACAAAGCTTCGCCTAAGAGAGAACTGTTTGTAAATAGCAATTTAATGTGCCTTTAGACGAGAATTGTTTTCTTTCTCTTGAGTTCTTCGAGATTCTTTTTCGAGATACTAAAGATAAAAGTACGTCATGAATTACCTTAACAGAATATCTTCAGTATGCCTGTGGTTCCTTTTATTCTAAAGAGGTAGTACCCTGGAGTCCATCATAAGTTTGAATAACTCAAACCAGTTGAGCTGACCAGAGCTCGATTGTGTTAGGTTTCGTCCTATTTTGTTTTGAGCTTGTCACATTATTACTCACATTCTAACTAGCAAACCATTTCATCTTCTCTGATAGGAGAAAGGATACCCAGAAATGTAAACTGAGCATAACAATAACCCGTTGCTATATGCCTTATGCTCGGCTTCCAATTCAAATGTTGGTAATGTTAAAATTGTGAACAGTTACGTATCTTCATGGTTTTCCTCCTTACATCTCTCAAATGTCCACATTGGCACTTGGGAGAGAACAAAGACAATTATTTCTTTATTACCCTGCAAACTAAAATGCTAAACTGCATCTGGGACAGTTTAAGATTATAAGAGAAACAGCACAGCATGTGAACTTGCCATACAGAGCCCTTTGGCACGTATCAAGAGTAAGTTTGGGGGTGTTTTTTTAATTGCAGAAATCATCTGGTGAAAATTTAGGGCCACCCAGGGTTCCTTTCCTTCAGAGCTGTGATTTTCACCTTCATGAAGAAGTCAGCCTGCCTAGAGGCACAGATGGCATTATCATAACCAGATCCCTTTAACGTTTCATCAAATTCCAGGGACCGTAGGACCCACAGCTGGCTGAACCTCAAGCCTTATACGACACAACAGAGACACCGTCTCCTCATGTATCATAGCAGATAGCTGAAATGTCCCAAGTTGTACTAGCTGTGGAATTTAATTTAGAGGTCAGTTTTAAGGCTTGGGGGAAACAGAGATAAACAGCACTGTTAAATGACTCTTGTGATTAATCAGAAGTATATTTCAAAAGTCATCTCTAGGATCTCATTTTCTACCCTTCCATAGGAGACCTGGACAAGCCACTCTAGCTCTTGGAAAGGGTGTTTTCTCGCCAGAAAAATGAGAGATTTTTCTCTGTGTCATGCCTCCCGGTTGCTACCATTTTATGTTTCAACTCAGTAACTGTAGAACACGGTCCCATCATGACTAAGGGAGATCAAGGTTCACCAGTAAATCCTTTTGATTAAAATAAATATGGTTCAGACATTTCTGCCATATCCACTTACTCTTTGTACACTGCACGCAGTATGTTTGTTGCTAGTTAGAATCATGTGACTTTTCAGCAGGAAAGAGCTTGAAGATTAGGGGACCAAATGTCCTAAAATACGGAGAACAAGGAAAAAGGGAGTTAGTTCAAGCAAGCAACGGGCCTATATGTAGCCCGTGTCATTAGAAAGCTTTTCATTAATTATCAAAATCTCCATCTTTCTGGGGTTTTTCTCCTGCCTGGGCATTCTCACTCTATACCAAAGAACACGTCGCGAGAGATCAGCAACCGTGATTCTGAGTCTGGAATTCTTTAAGCTCGCTTGCGTTGTTTAAAATTGATGTGTAGTTTTCTTTTGTTGAGCTGCCCACTGGCCTATGGGTAGGACACAGTTTTAAATCTATTATCTGTGCCTCAAGTACCTGCTTTATAATCCAAGACCAGATACCGATAAGCTTGCACCAGATGCCATGATGACGTTTCGTGCTGGCTACGGTATCTCAGAGGTATTCAGTGGTCTTAATGACCTTGGGCAAGCCGGACGATCTCGTCCAGGCATTGAATATAATAAACTTGCTTTCTTGGCTGTCAACAGCGGAGCTTCTCATTTTTCTATAAATCCGACGTTTTTATCATTATGCATATTTCATTGCAAACAGTTCTTTTCCACTTGCTCCAGTGGCATGGCTCATTGGAATTCTGAGATTTTTGTTATCTCCCACAAGGCAGCCATATGTGTTTTAAAGACCAGGCCGTGACTGGATTTGCATTCTCGACACTTAGGTCATTGAGTTCCCCCCCTCCCCCTGCCAAAAGCCAAGAGTTCATCTCTGGGCCGACAGCCGTCATCCACGTTATTCCTCCGTCTTAAAGAAACTCTCACGGAGGGAGGAAGACACACAAGTCTCATTTTATACCGCATGCAAACGGACCTGCTTTCAAACCACTGTTTCCAAGTGTTGTTTTCGATTTTTGTGCAAAGGTCCCTGCGACCCTGAGTGCAGCGAGGTTGGCTGTGACGGCCCCGGCCCGGACCACTGCAGTGACTGCTTGCATTACTACTACAAGCTGAAAAACAACACCAGGTAAGAACAGAGGCCGCGGCGGTCTCCCCCACAGCATGCCCTGGGCGTTCCCATG